TGTCAAGAAGCCTCACTGAGAAAAGGAGACGGACACATCAAACAAAGAAGCTGAACAGTGGACTGACCACCCCAGAGTCCAGACCTCAACAACACAGAATGTGTTTGATTACTTCAGAAAATGATCAACCAACTTCTAAGACTGACCTTTGGAGGTGTGTCTGCAGATTTCTTTGGAAGAATGGAAGTTGTGATAAAGGTAAAGAGTGACACTCCAAACACTGAAAATATCTGCTTTCTGCTGTTTTTTCATGCTGAAAAATGAATACCTTGCACTTAAATGCCATTTTGACTGGACATTAGATAAATAAAGGTTGGTTCCTGATTTTGTACAGTGCTGTAGTTGAGAATTAACAGTGATGGTGTTCCCACAGCACCAATTTGAGCAACGTTTCTCTAGTTATTTTGAAAGTGTGAAAACCTGTGAGATTTATATTCGCATGTGAGAGAGAAGCAATAGCATAAAACCACGAGCCTCATGGGTAAAGTGTGAGACATAACTGTTGTTTCGCAACGATGGTGAGAACCTCAAACATAGGCCTGAACAGGAGGACAAGAACAGCAACATGCTAAAGCTAATCACCACTGAGAAAACGTAAATCACATAGTGAAAGAGAAGCATCCTGCCATCCTTCCTTCCAAATAACAACACAGCAACAGCTGAGGTTCAAACCTGAGTCCCCATCATAAGAAAAGATGCTAGTGAAGAAGTTACCACTTTCCAACCCCTCTTTATTCCTTAGAATAAAACAGGCTGTTTCTGTTGCTGTTCCTTTAAGACTGAAATATGCAAATGAGCTGGCTGTGCCACATTCAGAAAGCAGTCCACACTGATGCACTCCTTATAACTTAAGCGCTTAAGCGTTTGCACTAAATATGCTTGTGGTTGTGACATCTCAACCATGATATGTTTCCATACGGTCATATGCAAACCTTTGAAAAAAATGATGGTTCTCAAGGGTTCTTTAGTACAGAAAACGGTCTAAACTGAACCATGAACACTCAAAGAACCCGTTGCATGTTTAAGTGATTCTTTGCATGGTGAAATCATTCTGGAGAATGTGTTGTAGAAGAACCCTTTTTGGTGCTTGTTGATTTTCTAAGTGAAAATAAGTGAACACATCCTCTATAGACAACACACTTAAATGTGGCATTTTTCTGCAAATTTTACTGCAGTTTAATATAATGGAAAAATATAAAAGGTGCCGTAACTTTCTCACAGGACACCTTTTTGGTTTTATTATGTATTTCAATGTGTTCAATTCAGCAAACAGTAATTGTGTATTGAAACGTGTTCACTTATTTACACTCAGAAAATCAACAACAACATGGAATTACCCTTTTGCATATCACTGTATGGACTGTACAGTTTCAAAGCTTTAATACTGTTTACATCAGCGGTCAACTCTCAGGCTTAATGATCACTGGGAACTAAAAACACCTGTCTGTTTTAAGTAGTATCATCGTGTTTTTTGCAATTATTTCATTAAGTTTGAATTCATTAGGTTTCAAATCTTGAAAGGCCTAATAGAAAATTATCCAATCAGGATTATCTGATTGGATAAAACATACCAGAGATCTGATATCTGTGGTATGTAGGTGGATACAGCTGAGCGAGCTCCCCCATTGGTTAGGACTTCAGGAGCTGGACTGAAGGCCTTACATGTTAGATAAACTACCAACATAATTCAGAAGTGACAGAGGAATCGACCAATCACGCTTTAATTTACAAGAAAAAACATCTCTCTGCTCCTTCTGTATGTTCTATATATGTCACTGACTGTGAAAATAAGCCACAGTCTAAGCAGGTTTGGGTTAGTTGTTAGGAATGTAAAACAGCAGCGGCAGCCTCTGTGTCAGAACTCTTTACTGACAGAGTCACTGTAAAACTGATACATACAAGCTCAGATATACTTCAAAAAATGGTCTCTTTCAAGTAAAATTATCTTAAATATAGTCAATAAATCTAATATTTCTCCTGTTGAGATGCTTGCTGTTGTAAGCTTAATACAAGATCGTCTACATTATTTCTAGACATTATCTCACTGTACTGGCAGATAATTTTGCTTGTTTTAGGAAATGGGCTTGAACCCAAAATTATCTGTCAGTATAGTGAGATAATTTTACTTAATTAACTTAAATTAATAAAAGAAGTAAATAATTTCTAGAAATCTTATAATAAGTGCGCAACCATCTCAAAATGGGAAATATTAGATATGTCAACTAGATTTAAGGTCATTTCATTTGACAAGATACTATTTTTGGCAGTGTATTTGATAATGTCTGTTACAAGCTTAAGATAAAACATTTGGTATGATTTTACAAGCTTTAAATGTCTGTGTTTAAACTAGAACAGCATCGGCATTAGCTTCAGAAATGAGGAATTATAGCTAGCAGAAATTATTATTGCAGGGGGGCTTTTTTTCTCAATTTTTGACAAGGTTTTGTGGCTCAAACTGAAGGCCTGCCTGTAATAGTTACAATTCGCCACTGGTTTATGTAAAACATCAAAGTCTTTTATTACAAAAAAGCGAGGAAATTTCAGTTTTCCATTATTCAAAACTCCATCCAGTGATGTAGACTACAGTCCTGTATTTATCTCTGAGCCTCAGAGCATCCATTCGATAGCAAATGCTGTTCTCTTTCTTTTCTGCTGTGATTCAGCAGGAACAGTGTGAGAACGAGCTCCTTTAGGCCCAACCTTACCTTTAGCACCGCTGCAAAACAGAACACAGCCTGCTCTCTGACAGGTGCTCTTTTTCCGTGAAATGTGTGCAGCATCGGCTTTGTGTGAAGAGCTGATAAAAAAAATAAAGGCCTGCCAATCTGAGGACATCCCTGCCTTTCTTTTCTGGACTTCAGAAAGAACAGTAACATCACAGAACCTTCCAAAAAAAAGCTTAAAAAAAACATAAAAAGCGTACAAATGAAGTGGCTGTAGCTAATTCCTCTCTTACGCTGAGTAGGACGAAAACATGTCACGGAGGACAGATGCCAGAATATTTAACCCTTAGAAATCACTGATGATCACAACATGCTGCAACTGTATGGTGAATCATTTCTGACTCATAGCTCATTGCAACAAGTGGAGAAATTGTGCTTAAAGTGCAGATTCCAGACTTTCAATCCACATTAGTGTTTGTGAGTAGGAGATATTTTACTATGATTTGAATTTAAAGAAAAGTTACTCTTGTGTGTAAAGTTTGCTAATGTGTCATCAAAAATACACAAACCACTACAAATTATTCAGTATCCACTATAAATTGTTTAATATCTACAATAAACTATTCAATATCCACTATGAATTTTTCAATATCTACTATGGATTTTTCAGTATCTACTATGAATTGTTCAGTATCTACTATAAATGAATCAATATCCACTATTAATTGTTCAATATCTACTATAAATTATTCAATATTCACTATGAATTGTTAAATATCCACTATGAATTATTCAGTATCTACTATTAATGTTTCAGTATCTACTATGAATTATTCAATATCCACTATGAATTGTTCAATATCTACTATAAATGATTAAATATCCACTATGAATTATTCAATATCCACTATGAATTTTTCAATATCTACTATGGATTTTTCAGTATTTACTATGAATTGTTCAGTATCTACTATAAATGAATCAATATCCACTATGAATTATTCAATGTCCACTATGAATTATTCAATATCCACTATGAATTGTTCAATATCTACTATAAATGATTAAATATCCACTATGAATTATTCAATATCCACTATGAATTGTTCAGTATCTACTATAAATTATTCAATGTCCACTATAAATTGTTCAATATCCTATATGAATCTTTCAATATCTACTATGAGTTATTCAGTATCCATTATGAATTGATCAATATCTACTACGAATTATTCCATATCTACAGTAAATTTTTCAGTAAACACTATGACTGTATCAACTCTGAATTAATCCGTATCTACAATGAAAAATGCACTGACTACTGTGAGTTGTTCAGTAACCACTATGATTTTATCTTCTGTGAATTATTTTGTACCTTCTGTGAATTTACCATCAAAATAAAAAATAAAGGCTTGCCAATCTGAGGAAATCCTTTCTTTTCTGGACAATAAAAGCACAAAAACCACAGAAAAAATCTTTAAAAGCTTGACAATGAAGTGGCCATTGCTAATTCCTCTCTAACACAGAGTATGAGTATGACAGAAAGACGACACGAAGGACGCTCAGTAGAAAACATAACCCTTCGAGGTCAATGGTGACTGAAACTGTGTATGAACAGTTTTTGGCACATTGAAATAATTCCAAACTTTAAATCCACATTAGTGTTTGTAAGTAGGAGAGGAGATATTTTACTATGATTATAAATTCAATTCAAATTTACATTTAGGCTTTTTTTCACGTCAAATCAAACAGAAAGAGGAACAGACTGGAGCCCATCAGTACAGAATAACTTATTATATAAGTATGTAAATAAGCACTTAATTATTTACTTACATTTGAGCAATAATAATGACTCTGGACTTCTCGGAGGGTTAAATTCACTCTAAAAAAGATGGTTCCTTAACGGTTCTTTAGTAAAGACAAGGGTTCTATATAGAACCATGAACACTCAAAGAACCCTTTGCATGATTAAAGGGCTCATTAGACTGATGGAGAATGTATTGTATATGGTTCTAGAACCTTTTTGAAAAGGGTTCTATACAGCACCCAAAAGGATTCTTCTATTGTATACAAGCTTGACACCATAACAATAGAAGAACACTTTTTGGTGCTATATAGAACCATTTTCAAAAAGGTCCTATATAGAACCATCTACAGCACATTCTTAAGAACCCTTTCATGATGCAAAGAGCCCTTTAATCATGCATAGCGTTCTTTGAGTGTTCATGGTTCTATATAGAACAATTTTCTTTGCTAAAGAACCCTTGAAGAACCATCTTTTTTGTGTTTTTGTGTAGTTCATCATTTTTTTACTGAGTAAAGTCTGAATATTCTCACCTTTCCGAAGCGGTGCTGTAGTTGATAGATCATTCCTTTCTTTCTGATGTCTTCCTCCATCGTTCATCAGCAGAACAAATTTTCTCTTCTTTAGCTCTTTTGCTATCTCTCTCTCTCTTTCTGTCTCTCTCTTTCTCTCGCTCTCGTTACAGTTCCTCTCTTGTATCTCTGTCAGTTACATCTGTCTCTCTCTCGTAGCGTCTCTCGTTCTCTCTCTCTTATCTCTCTTTTGTATCTTTCTCTTTTGCGTTCTCTCTCTCTTTTCTATCACTGTTTCTCTCCCTTGTTCTATTAGTCTTCTCTCTAACTTGCTCTGTCTTCTTCTACTTTGTTCTCTCTCTCTCTCTCTCTCTCTCTCTCTCTCTCTCTCTTCTCTCTCTCTCTCTCTGTCTCTCTCTCTCTCTCTCTGTCTTCCTCTTTTCTGTCTTTTTTTTTGTGTGTGTTGTGTTGTTTGTGGCCCTCGTGACCTGGAGTGCCTTTAAAGCTTTACTTCCTGTGAGCTGCTCATCTAAATGAGTCACTCTGGTCGGATGCGTGGGCGCGCAGCGCTGCTGGGGGGATTTTCTGAAGAAATGCTGAATGTGGCACAAATAAACTTTACTGTACAATTCATACAATTCATTCAGTATCTACTATAAATTATTCAGTATCTAGTATAAATTAAGTATCTACCATGAATTTTTCAGTATTTACTATGAATTGTTTAGTAACCACTTTGAATTATTCAGTATCTACTATAAATTATTCAGTATCTACTGTGAGTTATCCAGTAATTATAGTGAATTATTCAGCATCTACTATGAGTTATTTAATTACTACTGTAAATTGTTTAGTATGAGAACATGCAGACACTGTTGCTCTCACTGATCTTCAGTGATGTAAATGGGAAACTGTTTTCACTCTGATAGGTATACTGTAAAAAATGTCTCATCAGTTCAGTCCAAAAAAACTACTTCATGTAATTGAACTAGTTTGATTCAACTAAAAAAATACCTTGATTGAAAGAATCCATGATGCAAAGTATTTAATTAGGTTGAATAAAACTAGTTAATTCATTTGTTACCATACTAAGTGATTTTTTTGGGTTAAACTGATGAGCCATTTTTACCAGTGTATAACAAAAAGCATTGCTTGTAAAATGAAAGAAATCTTTCTTTGGGGTCAGACTTGAGCAAATAAGTCAAATGCAATTAATCTGGAGTGTTTTTTCCCCACTGTGCATGCACCCCCATTCAGTGTTAATGTTGCAAAACCTAACCAAAAGCAAATCATCTGACGTTTTTTTCACCTTCGTCTCACTCTGATAATAAACAGATTAAAGCTGATCAGAGCTATTGATCTTTATGAAGAATTTCTTGTGCTGCTAGTTGGTTCATCTGATGTTGGCGCAAGAGGTGAAAGGTCAGGTCTGAGCAAAAAATCTGTAAATGTGGTCCAATTTAGCCATCTGTAAAGTGGAATTCCACTACTTCAGTGTGTGAGATGTGAACAGAGTGATTCAGAGTGGTTCGGTGTGAAATGGTTCAGATTTCTTAACAGTGGTGCTGATAGGAACCAAGGATCGCCATGACTACAACACAAATATAGACATTTTATTTCCTATCCAAAACCACCAGTGAACCTACACGTGTCTTCTGAGTTTTATACGGGATGTTGATGACGGGAAAATAGTGGAAAATCTGAATAAAATTAGAGCTTCTTTTGGTGGATTTTAAAAATACATTTAAGGCCAAAATCTTCTCAAAACTATGATAAAACAGTGTCTCAGACATCAGGCAGTGTATTTATAACTATTTCATGTAATAACTTTCTGTGAGGGAGCTTTTTCACACCAAACCACTCCCTGTTTACATCTTAACCAGTTAATTATGCATATAAACAGAAAATTTGAAAAATCCCTTAAATCGGCTTTCTGTTTTATGCAGAGTAAAAGGATAGAGATAAATTTTAGATTCTCACTCGTTCCTATAAACTTCAGCTTGCCTTTTATCACACTGTACAGTCTTGTGACTGGCTGGTGAACTCTGCTCATAGTGAGTTTGGTTCCATGTTGTTGCTGTAAGGCTCATTTGCATCATGTGGCTTCCTCTCTGATGAAGGGAAATAAAGTCAAAAGGCGGACTGCACAATAAACACCACTGCTTCCCCTTTTCTCGAGCCTCTGTCTCAAACCAGTCCTGCACAAGTGGTGCATAAAAAACAACTGAAGTTGAAGTTCTCATTCTTCTTATTCCATTCCACCTTAAATGGTGCAGCAGTTACATTCTGACGCCCTAAAGGCCTCAATAAACCTCTTGCATACACAATGTTCACCTGACTTTGGCGAACAATATGATGTAACTGTGGAGAAAACAAACAAATTCGCCGCAAAGAGCAATTTCACACCACAGACTTTGCGTCAGGTTCAACTTGCGTCAGATTTGTGGTGCACTCTCAAAGATGGTTCTTCAAGGGTTCTTTAGTAAAGACAAGGGTTCCATACAGAGCCCTGAACACTCAAAGAACCATTTGTATGCTCAAATGGTTTTCTGCATGGTCAAATGGTTCTCCAGATTGATGGAGAATGTATGGTATGTGGTTCTAACCTTTTTGAAAAGAGCTCAGTTTAGCACCAAAAAAAGTTTTTCTACTGTATACAAGCTTAACATCGTCTACTTGAATGTAGCTACCATGTCTTCCACAAATAGTGCATCATTTTTAAACTGCGTCACTTTTTCAGCTTCCGTATATGACATATGGCATATGGTAGCTACTGTATGATTTTCTGACATGGTTTACAAAGTTACTCAGTTAGTAGCCAGTTTTATCAGTCGGCATTCACCACAGGTTATTGCAGTACAACAGTTATCATGGTCAAAATACATGCAACTGGAACTGACCCACCCTCTTTATTTCATACATAAAACATTGCATATTTTATTGCTATATTGACCACCGAACTGTCCCCGGTTTTCACTTCAGAAATCTAGTCGCCTGACTTCAGGTGCCAGAATGTAACTGCTGCACCACTTAAGGTGGAATGGAAAACTCAAATAAGAAATTCAGCCCCATGAGAAAGAAGCCATAGCATCTCTGCAGTAAACACACAAACACAGAGAGGCTCAGAGGCGTCTGTGTTCGGCTGAGATCTCTGCACTATTACATCACTCCAGAAGTCAGAGGTTGTTTGTGTTGTAATTAAGTGTCTTCATTATATTTTGATGTAGCTGTGGTTCCATAACACACTTTCAGCCTCTGATTGGTCCTGACTTGGACCTGCAGCCGCCTTCACTCACAGTACATGTTAACCGTTTGACACCTTTATGAGTCGCGTGAGGAAACGCATGTCAGCACCTGTTTACAGCCTCATAGAGGAAGTTACTGAGTGAAAATGATGTGCAGTTTGGATAAATGACTTCACACAGAGGACCTTCACTGAGTGGGTGTAGCAACCGCAGAGGAGCCAGAGGTCAGTTCACGCACCCACACTGCCCCCCTGTGGCTGATACAGAGAATTACAACACTGCTATAAAAACTACTGTTGAGACGAACATAGATAGATAGATAGATAGATAGATAGATAGATAGATGAACAGGTACATAGATAGATAGACGAACAGATAGATAGATAGATAGATAGATAGATAGATAGATAGATAGATAGATAGATGAACAGGTACATAGATAGATAGATAGATAGATAGATAGATAGATTGACAAACAGAGAGACAGATAAACAGACAGATGAACAGATAGATAGATAGATAGATAGATAGATAGATAGATAGATAGATAGATAGACAGACAAACAGATAGACAGGCGAACAGATAGATTGATAGATAGACAGACAAATGAAAAGATAGTCAAACAAACAGACAGATAGACAGGCAAACAGATACATAGATAGATAGATAGACAAACAGAGAGACAGATAGACGAACAGATAGATAGATAGATAGATGATAGATAGATAGATAGATAGATAGATAGATAGATGCCGAAAGAAAGAAAGACAAATAGATGGACAGAAAAATGTTCATTTGAAGTACAGTAATTGAAAAAAAAACAAAATCAGGAAATAATTTATTCTCAAATCTATGTGTGCCACAATTGTTGCCACCCCTAGATATTCTTTTAAGAGAAATTTAACTGACGTATATTCGCAGTCATATTTTATGTTCACCGGAGTGATTAGGAGCGTTTAAATGGTCAGCCGTGACTTCCACCACAGGTTGTTTGGGGAGTTGCCAGAAGAAAGTCTCTACTCTACTCTACAGTCTCCCAGACATTACAGGAAGTTTCAGTGAGACTGTGTTCTGTGGTCAGATCAGACCAAAATAGTTTTTTGGCAAAAAACACCAGTGGTGAGTTTGGCGTGGACACAAAAACAGCCATGCAGAAAAACACCTGAACACAGTGAAGTGTGGTGGTGGATCTGTGATACTGTGGGGCTGTGTTTCTTCCAAAGGCCATAGTTTGGATCTTAAACACAATGATCCAACAGATCCAAACTTTAACATAGTTTGGATTTTCCATCAGGACAACCATGCATAGAAGATGTGTGTGGAAAGCTGAAGAGGAGAATTCACAACGTTGAACTCAGAATCTGAAGGTTCTGGAGAGGTTCTGTATGGAGGAATGTTCTCAGATCCTTTGCCAAGTGATCTCCAATCTCATTAAGCATTATCGGACTGACAGACAGACAGATCGAAAGAAAGAAATAAAGAAAGAAAGAAAGAAAGAAAGAAAGAAAGACAAAGGTACAGTCAGACAGACAGACAGACAGACAGATAGATAGACAGACAGACAGACAGACAGACAGATAGATAGATAGATAGATAGATAGATAGATAGATAGATAGATAGACACACAGACTGACAGGTAGATGGATAGTCAGTTAGACAGCCAGACAGATACATAGATAGATATTTTACACTTTAATGAATTTTCTATAAATGAATAGTTAAATTAATGAAGTAACTGGCAGCTCATTATTGTGCTTTGATCTCAAAGTTTGCACAAAGTGTTCAAAATGTATTTTTATTTTCATGTTCTACTTCTGTTCTTTCATCCTGGAATCAGGAGCAGCAGTTGGCTTAATTGTCACTATTAGAGACCACTAGTTTTCTGTATGACACTTTAGATCTCATTAGGAAACTATCAAATACATCTGGGATCAGAGCACCTGTTAAACCATTAGAGTCCTTTACACTGTAATATCAACCCTTCAGG